GCTAACAAGGACTCAGCTAGTTCATTTCTTTTTGGTTTGAGTTAACCAAGAGCAGTTTCACTATTTACACCCAAGAACCTTGACCAGTAAGAATGTTTTGACAGAAATAGTTTCAAGTCTAACCATGGTGGTGCACGCCTTTAATCCCAGCACTCAGAAAGCAGAGACAGGCAGATCTTGGGAGTTTGAGGCCAACCTTGTCTACAGAGTGAGATCCTGAACAGCTGGGGTTACACAGAGAAACCCTGTCTTGGGGGGGAATAAAGCTTCATCATTTTTTGAAAATTTTAAATTGGAAGTTGCAGACTAACTCAAGGCCAGCCCTGCAAAGGTCTAAGTATAGAAATATAGCAGCATCTTACTAACGGCAGGCAATTAGATCTGCAGAAGAGAACAAGAGCACAGTCACAGCACCAACTGCCTAGAGGACAATTCCAGCCGGCCTGGCAACAAGTAAGGGCACTGTTCTTGATGATTAAAGCATTCTTTTCTTCTTTTGAGACAGTCTCTCTATGGCACCCTGGCTGTCCTGGAACTTGCCATGTAGACCGCTGGCCTCTCTCTCACAGAGATCTACCTGTCTGTGCTTCCAGAGTGCTGGGATTAAAAAGGCATGTTCTTTAATAAATAAATTAAAAAAAAAAAAAAAAAAAAAAAAGACATGTTCTTTAGAAATGCAGTCTTTTTTTTCTTTTTTGGTTTTTCAAGACAGGGTTTCTCCATGTAGTTTGGTACCTGCCCTGGAACTCACTTTGTATACCAGGCTGGCCTCCCGAGTGCTGGGATTTAAGGCATGTGCCACCGCCGCCGCCCAGATAAAAATGCATTCTTAAATACCAAGCTCCATTCCTGAATATGAGAGAGAAGCATAAATTGTTATCCCTAGTAAAACTTCTTACTAACAGGGGCTAAGGCTGGTGATACAGTTCAGTTAATAGAATTCTTGTCCAACATACACGCACAAACATGTGAGTCCCCAGTCACTCCCTAGCACCTCATAAACCACATATATAGAGGCATATATCTGTAATCCCAGCACTCAAGAGGTACTAACAGGAGATTATGATGTTCAAGGCTATCCTTACCCACATAGTGAGTTCAAAGCCAGCTGGGCTACAGCATCCAGTATACATGTACTCTTGGAAAAGCACAATTATGAATGATAAAGCAAGACTTGGCCATTACTGCCCTGAAGGGTTTCAACTTCCAAATGCTAATGAAACTGACAAAGCAGCACACAAGAGCACAAACAGTATCATAGATAGCATGGGAGGAAAGGAAACACCTCTTTCCTATGTGTCTAATCTCACTGGGGCAGGATAAGTGTCTAAATCTTCCCATCTAAGAAGACTTAATAAGAGAGAGAGGAAAGGGCATTAGAGATTACTCCTGAAATAGTAACAAAACCAGCAGATTACATTAGTACAAGGATCAAGGAGAGCCAGTCTATGTGTTCCTCTCCAAAGCAGTATTTGGGAAAGGGATCGACTGACGAGTAAGGAAACCGAAGAACACTGAAAACAGAGTAAGCATACCAACACATGACTCAGCCGGGGTGCTGCCCTTACCACAGACTCCAAAAGTAATTCTGGTAGGGCCACCCCTGCAAGTACGGATTTCAACACAACTGCTTCACCTACCAAAGCCTCCTGAAATTCCAAACTACTGCTGACATTAGGGACTTCTGGCTCGGCACAGTAGCACAGGCCTTTAATCCCAGGTCTTGGGAGGCAGAGCCTGGTAGATCTCCGTGAGTTCCAGGACAGCCAGGGCTACATAGTGAGACCCAGTCTTTAAAAAAAAAAAAAAAAAAAAAAAAAGGAAACAACAACAAAAACAGAATTAAGGATTTTTCAGCTTAAGTCTTAAGGATTTGAGACATCTCTTGAAATAAGACATAAAGTAGTTCATGGTATTTTGGGACAAGCAGCTAGTTAATGGTAAGATAATAGACAATTCAACAAATCTCAAGTCCCTTTTATGTTGTTTTGTTGACATAAGAGTTTTGTCTGTAATATACACCAAAGTGACTGTGGTCATTAAGTTCCTTTAAGCCAGAAGGATTTTTCACTAGTTTATAACACACCGAAAAGTTTAATAAATTCTAAACACCCCCAAAAGAAATGGGAAAATGACCAATTTTCCTCGTGAAAATTTACTAGCACGCATTTCTCATTAAACAGAATTACTCAAACTTTTAAAGCAGTGGATTGTACCTTTTTTTCAAATGAGGTTAATGGAACATTTCCCCCCTTTATTTTCATATTTCCTAACATCCTTCCTCTTTTTGTTTCAGTAA